CTGACTGGAGTACCTTGGTCGTGACGTTGCGGGGGTGGGTCTGCCCAACTACCACACTGCTCTCAATGCGTGCGCACTCTGGTTTCTTGCCTGCGTGCGTGGTGTAGTTTGGCCCAGCTGCCAGGGCCGTTCGGCCATTTCGCCGCCGTCGGAGACCACCAAAGAGAGAGCACGGGTGGTGTCCACTCCAAGATGATACATTGCCTGGAGGATTTACACTCTAGAGTACTAGAGTCTAGGGTTTAGGGTTAGCTGTTCCGGGAATCAGACTTCACAACCGAGCAGAATCTGCACCCCTGTTGCTGCTGTGCGGCTGCGTCATACTTTGACATTGATGCCCCCATCACATAACCGGATGCAACCAGCAGAATTCCGGTCATCCACGACCGATCTACTCGTACAGAACAGGTGCAAACAACATCAACACAGAGAACCGATGAGTACACACAGTCTGTTAATGGCGGCACCTACGACTGTCGATGCTCGCCTCCGATGCCAGGAACTCGCGAATTGAGGACCGCAGCACTGCACGGCCATCCGCGCCACGGCAGAATGGAGTCTGTCCACCGCCCTGGTCGTTGGCTTTGGGGTTGGCGGATTCGGTCCGATGACGACTTTTCTACGGCCTTACTTATTTCTACTAGTACTAGTAGTAGTAGTAGTAGTAGTAGTAGTAGTAGTAGTAGTAGTAGTAGTAGTAGTAGTAGTAGTAGTAGTAGTAGTAGTAGCAGTAGTAGGTGTAGTAGTAGTTGTAGTAGTAGTAGTAGTAGTAGTAGTAGTAGTTGTAGTAGTTAGTAGTAGTAGTAGTAGTAGTAGTAGTAGTAGTAGCAGCAGTAGTAGTAGTAGTAGTAGTAGCACCATGACTACGACGACGACTACTAACTACTACTACTACTACTACTACTACTGCTACTACTACTACTACTACTACTACTACTACTACTACTACTACTACTACTACTACTACTACTACTACTACTACTACTACTACTACTACTACTACTACTACTACTACTACTACTACTACTACTACTACTACTACTACTACTACTACTACTACTCCTGCAACAGCAACTCCTACTCCTACTACTAGTGCTACTACTACTACTACTACTACTACTGCTACTATACTACTACTACTACTACTACTACTACTACTACTACTACTACTACTACTACTACTACTACTACTACTACTACTACTACTACTACTACTACTACTACTACTACTACTACGTACTGCCTGCTGCTGCTGCTGCTGCTGTTGCTGCTGCTGCTGCGGCTGTTGCGGCTGCATCCACGAGTCTCAAACAACATGCTGGCTCCATGAAGAATCAAACAATCTTTTGTCAGAGTGTGTTGACTTTCTGATATGGTCAATACACCATGCTCAGTGACGCAGGCAACCGATTCCTTGTATCCCCTTACTTTTCGCTGCGTCCCGATCTTTGGTTTTGTGCTGCATACGCATCAGCATCTTCGATTCGTTAGACATCCGTTAGACATCCGAAGCCCTTCGCCCTCGGGTAATTATTCTGACGTCCTACTAACGGCCTGTAGACATCCGACCCTGGCATGAAATCCTGTCATCAAGGTGTGCATGTGTTGATATCGTATCTGTATCTGTTGCATAGGTCTGACTATCTTTTTCATATGCACATCACAAAAGATCCTTTCGACTGTGCTGTCACCTTCAGCTGCATCTCCCAGCGCTGGCCCTTCACCACTACCTCTCCTTAGAGTAGGCAGCACCAATTCAACGTCCAACCAAGTCCATGAGAGGATTCCTGCAGGAAACCGCAGCCAGGATGCCGACGGAAACGGCCCGGCCATCGCCATACCTGGTTTTACAATGTCTCGCCAAACCCAATATGGCCATCCGGCAGATGGTGCTGAGCCAAGCCGCCCGTTGCCATTGCCGAATGGGCAGTTTCGCACCATGGGCTGCCCCATGATGGACAGCGCGTATGGCGTGCACCTGATGTGTAGAATGCTTAACTTCTTCGAGCTTTCTGTGGGCCATGTGGACCAGAACAAGATTAACAACCCGATGTGGATGCAGCAAAGTGCGTGTCTCGCAAGAGTGACTTTTGCTCCAGGGCACCACGACTCCAGCTTCCCTCCCGAGATCTGCTGCTGGCCGGAGAAGAACGCAGCAAACTCCTCTTCCAGCAATGTTTGCCATCCGGCTTTGAAGCAGTGAGGAATCGCCAACAGCAGGCTTGGAAGGTCCTTGCTGCTGCAATCCTCTTCCGGGATGCCCAGCGCCTCGGATGCACACATCTACGACGCACTACGGCTCCCGCCGTCTGTGCCCGTCCTCAGCCATGGCGGCCGAGTAGATGATCAACTTGGGCTCCGGGAGCGGACTTGGGGCCACTCGAACATAGTGGCCTACGCAGATCGGATCGAAGTCAGATCGGAGCTCGGGGCTTCGTCACACCATGACACACCTAAAGCTCTCCTGTGAGCTATGGTTATTGTATCCTGTGCAGCACGAAGTGGCGCGCCTGATTTCACCTGGCGGCTGCGCTTGTTGGGCTGGTACTTGTCCTTGGCGGAGATTTCGGCTAAGCTCTTGCATGTGACAACGCTGCGTATCAGTGACCAGAATATTCCCTCCACCTAACATGCCTTTCCATGGGCAAGTTGAGTCGCAAACAAATTGCAGATGCACATGCCGCACCTAACTGCCGACCCTGGAAATAGTCACGCAAGCAAAGCGCTCTTGCAAGTGTTCGCCGCTTGAGGTAGTCAGACGCACTTACAATAAGGACTCGATGGCGTGCGACCTCACAGATCCCTGCCACTCTGCTGTTTGCATTGCTCCTCAATATCAAGAAGGCTCAGCTGCATCCCGAAACCCTATCTATATGGGAGTTTCCGAAAATAGACTACCCTAATATAGTACATCCTAACTATAAGGGCCCAACATAAGGTCCCCCTAATTTTCCGAACCTCCCATATGAGTCATCCTTGCCGGGATTCCGTCTCCGGATCCGGCTGCAACTGTCTGAGCCAGGAGTGGTCAGCACCTCACGAGAAGAACACCATTATAGATTAGAAGGGGCCCCCACCCTGTAATAGTGGTATAATAGGAATATAATAGGGACCCTAATAAATCCTTATAGTCACTATTACAGGGTGGGGGCAGCTTCTAAATTATAGATCTCAAACAGGCTCATCATCAGCTTGATCCTTCGGCACCTCGTCGTCAGCAGAATCTTCATGGCGCCACCACCACCACCGACCACGACCACAACCACCATGACCATCACTGTCACCGCTGTCACCGTCACAATCCCCGTCACCGTCATCATCATCATCATCATCATCATCATCATCATCAGCACCATCGTCATAATCATCATCAACAACTGCAACGGCAACAGAAACATCAGCCTCTCCCGCAGCATCTTCAGCATCAGCACCCATTATCATATCAAGATCGTGATCACCCTGACCCGGATCATGATCCTGAGCGTGTCATCATAACGGCAGCAGCAGCCGCAATCTGGGTCATCCTCAGTCACTAGAGTCACTACCACCGTCATCATATGTCATCATGCCCTCACTGGTAAGAAATTCTGTGATCGACACTATCGCTTCTCCTACATACTATCAGAAACCTACTGATGCCACCGGTATCCAAGGGCCTAGCGATTGCCATCGGGAGCCTTGTCACAAAACTACATGGGTGGTTGTGAACATTATGGTCCTTTTGGGTCCCGATTGAAACTCGGCACCTATTATTTCAGGTACCCAAAAAGGGACCTTAATTTTGACAACTACCCACATGACCTCGGAAGGTCGCATGACTAGGTGCAAAGTTGGCTGCTTGCCTCGAAGTGATTCCGGAGACCTGTGGGAACCCGTGGCTGGGACGGGTCCTCTCCTTCCCAACAATCCTAGCGCGCGCTATGCCGGAGATACGGCAAGCATGGAGTTATAGGCCTGGTTCGCAAATTCATCTTCTCACGATCAACATCCGAAGGCTTGGCGGAGTCTTCGACGAAGCGATGCTGAGGGCAGGGCTCTGGAACAGCTGCTGCAAAGGCGCCATCTTGCCAGCGCCGCGCGGCTTGGCGCGCTACAGACACGAGAAGTCAAAACGCAGCGGGCCTCCTCTGGCTTTGGTCTCCATCTCATATATTGGTGCAGAGGAATGCGAAGCTACTGAGAATGTCCAGGGTCATAAGGGGGTGGGTGAGTGACAAAGGGCTACGAAGTCTGCCTAGTCGACGGCCGCCTTTTTCCTACTTTTCAGCGGGCGCGCACTCCAGTAGCATGATTTTGCATGCATCATGTGATATGCATCCCAAAGCGTGGGAATCTCTTGAGCCAGTTTTTGTCCGGCATGCCCCTTGCCAGATGCACCTACAAGTACCCGGGCTCTCTCTCTCTCTCTCGATGAGGCTTCAAGCTGGTTAGTACATGATGCAGTGCCGAAGCGTTCATGGCCCTTGCAGTACGGCACCATACACTGCACGGCAAGCCGCAGCGCCTCATCGGCCGACTCCTTCTCTCGGACGCCTCAGAAGTGAGCTCTCCGATAGTCCAAGGGAACCAGGACCCTCCTTGTACCTTCAAATAGGGGTATACGGTCCCAAATAAGGGGCATTTAGGGTCTAATAGAGGGTAGATGGAGGGTCTAGGAATCCGAAAGATCTCTGTAACTGTAACTCTCGGGGTATCTCGAAGTCTTCTCAGTGTCTTGGAAGAAAATCGCTACGGACAAGCTGTGCAGCAAACGTCTACCGGTCTACCAGGGGCTTCAGGACTCAAGCAGATCACCCACAACGCTAACTCGCACCTCTGCCCCCCCGCACAATGCCGGAGTCTAGAAGCTCTTTCGGCCGAAAACTGCGGACGCTTTTCATGGGCGGGGCTGCTCTAAACGAACGTCAGTTGAAAAGGGTCCTTATCGAGTCTTCAGCCGTGATCCAACACGGCAGATCTTCGAATGTCCGGCCGCTACGGCCGGCGGTCCACGCTTTCGCTCAGAAATCCGCGCTGGCAGGAAAGGCCCACTTTCCAACGTCCTTGGCTTGAACTGCCCGCTGTGGAAGCTCTGAGCATACTACTCTCAACTGCAAGAGATGGCTAAACCCGAAATCCGAACTGAGACACGGTGACGCTGAAGCAGCCAGGGCTCACTTTCCTCTTCTGCAAGGTGATGCAACGGGTGCTCCTTGATCCATAGGTGCCCATAGTTTCGGGGTTCTGGTTTCGGGTCGGCTGCCGAGGGTTTCGGATCAAAGGGAATAATGTCGGCACCCAGTTTTGGCACAGCGGGAATCAGTTTCGGGATGCGGGTCTGTCATGCGATGCGCACGGTTTCAGTCCGATTCTGGCAGGCCTGGGCCTCAAAATGACCATGCGTGAGACCGTAGCTGACCAGGTCCTGATCCGAAACTCGGACCACGTTCCGAAACTCCGCCCCGCGAAAACCCTGAAACTCACAACTTCCGTGCTCCTTGCGCCATTGGTGGGCCTGCGTGTAGTCCTGCAAGGGGATGCTCAGAAAAGGTGGCGGCAGCGCCGCTTGATTGCACACTACTCTTCTTGTCTATATCGTCTAGGCTTCCAAACGCTTTGCAAGTGCCCTCGCTGCCCCAGTACGAAGGTCAGGCCTTGATGTTGCCGGTCTGGGCCCTTGCAATGGCAGTGACGATGAGTGCGGCACAAGACGAAAAAGAGGGCTTACAAGGAGCATCGGCAGCTGTATGCCTAATAAGATTTCATGTATCCAAAAACACTTCTTGATCACGTCTATATGGATTGCTCCGATCCATGGCGGACCGGGGCCTCACACTTCGCAATAAATCGCTGGCGGAGCAGAAGGATTGTGAAGCCCTTACTCTCTCTCTCTCTCTCTCTCTCTCTCTCTCTCTCTCTCTCTCTCTGATCTTAGTGTGTATACCGATATTTCAAGCACCAGGGCTGCCAAGATTCCGAGCAATTCCATCAAAGGAGGCCAAGGCCACACCTCTTCAAGCAGTGAGGTAGATTTTACAGTTGCCGCATGCTCTGGGCTCTTTTTGGGAAGGAACCGGACGTAGTGACAGCATTGGGCTCGAGTAGGAGCGGATCTCCAGTTCTTCAAGCAATGTATGCACTTAAGACTGTATCCTGCGTCGCGGAGAGAGGCTGGCTGGTAGTTCTTTGCGTTCGGGCTCCTCCACCCGAAAGATCTAGAATGCTCGCACGTTGTGGCTTACTCTCGGGTCCCCGTTTCAAGGTTGTTGAAAATCTCTTGTTCTCCTGTCATGGTTGAACCACTAGTGGCAAGTGTGCGGAGCACGATGCAGAATCTGAACAGAACCACTGCCAACAACAAAGATTTATGAAGAATTGTGTGTCTCTTGCGAAGTCCCGAAGATGTGAAGAGCAGCACTGACATCATCTAGGAGGTGTTGCAACTCCTCTAATTTAATTTCAGACAGTGCGCAGAAGCGAGAAGCTTACGGTGTTGCAAATCTCCGGAACTTGGCCTCGCAGCCGCGTCAGTGCCCGAAATGCACTCCTCTTCTCCTTTCCGAAGGAGCGACATCTGCGCTCGTGTGCAGAAAAGAGCTCTCTTACGGTGCAAGCTCCATGAAAAAGCAGGGATCTTACCTTTGGCTAGTAGTCAATGGAGGAATGGGGTACAAATATAACTTACTATTTCTACCATTCCCTACCAACCAAAGGTAAGGAAATAGCAGGGAGGGCCTACGAGCCGGCAGCTGATCAAGTTGGAAGCCTCTCCTCTGCTACCTCTGCCCGCTCGAGCTGATCCACCTTCGCGAAGCTCGCGCGGTGCTGTGAGCATGAGGTCTGCTGGGTGTGGACTCACACTATCCTTCACACAGAAAAACCTCGCATGAGGAGAGGGTAGCATGCAAGGTCGCACGGCACTATAGCCGTGTAGCCCTTGTTGGAGCTCTCAGCACTTTCCGGCTCTGCGGCTGAGAGAGTGACCATTTCGTTTGTTTCTGAAATGGCAGACTCGGTCAGCTCCTTGCAGGTCGGGCAGAGCATCTTTAGACTTGTGTGGCACCTTGACTCTGACTATGAGTTCTCAGACAGTAACAGCGCCCCAAGCTGGTCAGGCGCCGAGCGGTGGTCTGCTACCCACTGCATCTATCCCCCACATGTTTCAGTCGCTGGGCCCGTGTTCGCTCCCTCGATCTTGCGCACCCTGTATGCCCCTGTCCTGACCAGCATTTTGCCGGCCAAAGGGTTCAAGGTCGCCGAATGGCATCGGGGCCTTCACCTCCGCAACCGGTCTTTCTGGAAGCACTAAGTCAAGCAATCTCCGGGGCCCGCCTCGCCAGCCTCCTTGTCCGGGGCATGCGCTTTCGTCACGCTAAGGGCCTTTGACCGGAAACCCAAGCTAAAGTCAGCGCCAATGCCCGCATACGACACTCCGGCGGAAGCCTGATGCTTCTCGACATCAGCCGCCAGAGCACTGCAGCATAAGGCCAGCAGGAGCCTGGTAAAAATCACCAACAAATCTCGGTCTGTGTGTGCACACAGAGGCACATGCACTGTCAGCCATGCATGCATGCGTCCAATATTGTGTGAGTGTAGTGTCTGTTGCCTTGGAGTTATCAAGGGTACAGATTACGGAGGTCATCCAATGAAGGTTACGCTAAGTGGCTAGCTGAACGCGGCTCGCCTACACCCGTCCAGGTTCTCAAACCGTCACCCCTGCAAATCACCGACGCGTGTCATATAGGAAAAACTTTAAAATCATCTCAGTTGGATGCAAGTCACGAACCTATTAGACAAGCTCCCCTGATCTCTTGATGGGAGAAACATGGCAAACCCCCCATGACGCTTCTGCAAATCTTGCCATTATAGCGAAAACGAAAAGAGTGATCCGATGCCACCATCACAGAGCACCACAATGCGGATTCTGGCCACGGCCATCATAAAGGACATCATCGATATCATCATCACGACAATCATGTCCCCAGTGGCATTAGGTTCACCTTCCCTGCCTTGACATCATTGCAAGGCAGATTGGCCACCGGGCTCCCGCGCTTCGTTCGGTTGGAGCCAAAAGGCTTCGATTGCAAGTGCTACGCAGTCACAGTGTCGCCAAAGAAAAATGCTCATGCTGAGGTAAAGCCATCGTCCAAAGACCACCGGGATGGCATCGGAAACATGTGGGTTGCATAGAGGCGTGAGATCGCTTGTCCGAGGTGGGCACTTGGTGACAGCTCCAGCTTTTGCAGGCGCCGCTCGAAGCCTCGTAGAATTTGGGGCAACATCGTTTGACACCCTGAGGAAGAGCTTGCAGATTTCGCTTCATAGGGGCGTCTGGTCCTGCGTGCAGTTTCCATGTCCTGTGCTGAGATGGTGCCAACTCGGTAAGGGCGTGGCCAAGCAAAGTTCGGGCCTGGACGGCAAGTTGCTCTTTGACCTCCACAGCCAGGGGATGCTTGCACCCGATTTCGAAGGGCCCTCACAGCGAGAGATGATGCTTGCGTTGCCGAGGCCTCCGTCTCAAACTCTGTGGCTTCCTGCGAAACCGGACTTCAGCTTTCGTTCAAAGGGCGCAAAACCGGAGACGGTCCGAAACGGGCCTGCACCCTGGCCCAGACACCGCTTTTTCCCCAACCAGTCCTGCTCTGCCTCCGGATTGGAGCCAGGCTTTGCCTCAAGAGAGGTACGGGTACCGTTGCCACAGTATCCTCTGCGAGATCCAACCCTCATCAATTGCGATGGCTGGACCATTCAGGCCATGATATGTAGACATGTGAGTTTGCGCAATCTGCCGCGCACACGACGTGCCAAATGGCTACATGTGGCAGTTTGTGCTGTCTGGAGCCCTTTTAGCGAGCTTCTGAGTGTCACAATCTGAGCCAGCGCTTTGTCACCCCCGAAGGGCAGCGAAACCCTCTTGGGCTTTCCTTCGTAATACGCTGAACAACATGACCTCCAATATGCAGGCCTCATGATACTTCCAAGATGCTGGAGACATGAAAGGCACACCAATAGGGGCGCATGGTGACGTTTCGACATCCCCTCCAGGGCGACTTTGTTGAATCCGTTTCTTGCCACGATGAGCGCCACAGGATGGCTGAGTCAGCAGCGCAACGGCGTCGAAGGCGGCTCAGGCCTGCGCATGTGCACGCACTTCATAATATATATATATATATATATAAATATATATATACATATATATATATACATATGTATTTACAATACAAACACATATTTACAGTCTAAAGCTCTTTGCCTTCTACAAGCGCGCATACCGATCCGTGCCTCGTCCATTCGAGCCATCCTGGTCTCTGGCCGAAACGGTGCAGTTCTCACACTATTCTACTGCCTTTTTTTGCAACGGTTGTTAGCACCGTTCCCATTCCTCGAGCTGCGAGCTGATGAGCGCCAGGTTTGCCTGCAAAGCGATAGCCCGGCAGTGGAGCAAGCTTTGGAATCTGTTCGCTTCTTGCGGAGGGGCTGTTGCCTCAAACTGCGGTGTCTTGTGGGGATGCGAGCAGCAATATCCTGAATCACGCTGCAACGCACCCAGGCCAGCAAAAACAAATCCTCCTTCAGTAGCTGGCCATGAGCTGGCCAGGTGAACACAGCGAGTGACTCAAGTCACACCCAAGTCTCTCGAGCGTCATTAATCGTACTCTTTTGCTGCGCAGCTTGAAGGATCAACTTCAGGCATTAGGTCGCTGCGAATATATACAGGCAAACACCAGAACTGCGCATTACCGCCGGTGGCCTCAGCCTGCTGCAAGAATGCCACGATAGAAGAGCCGCGCATCTGGTTTCCTCCGGCACCCGTCCCGGCATTTGCTCTTCTCAAACTCTGCCATGATCTCAATTGAGGTTGAAGTGTCTTTGCTACTATGCAGCCGAGGTGCCAAGGCGCAAGGCCGGCAGCTTGTCAGTTGCCCGTCTTGAAAGGCTACACGCACGTCATGCTACAACGAAATCATGATTCCTACCAACTTGCAGTGGCTCTCTCGGATGCTGACGTATTGATGGTTGTTTTTGCTTCTGTGGACAAAGCCAGAGCCTGCACTGCAGTTCACTAGCACTGAACATGCTTGCCTACTCCAGAGGCCGACGCCGAGGCAGTTCCTAGTGTTGTGTGCGTGCTTGTTGGGGAATATTGTGGCTTCTGGATCTCCGCGCATGTAAAAAAACTTGGCTGGCTCTGTGGGCAAGGAATAGGGAATGGGACAGGCTGCACGGGCGGACAACGTCAAGCTCACAGCTGAGGCAACAAGGCCAAACACGACTAATTTCTGCCGTGCGGTCGAAAGCAGTTCTGAATCACAAGTTGCGGCAAGACTTAGTGAATGAAACAAACTAGGGGACAACCACGGTTTGGAGGCTCGGACGCGGAACTGTGCCCAAAGCTGTCAAGCCTAGAGACCTATTCGCATACCATCCGCTATCTGAGGATACCTAAAAGACTGTGCTCCCCAAATCCGAAGGAGAAGGAGCACTTCTGCCAGACCCGGCCGTAACAGTGAATTTAGAAGCACAAATTGCCAACAAGGCGATCATGGCATGCATGATTGCAACATCTGAGCGCCCGAATCAGCTACAGCTACTACGCAAACTATAGCCACACGGACGACGCATGCCTTAGGCTGCTGAGGTCACTCGTTGTTCCTGGCCTTAAGGAAGCCATCTGTATCTGCACGTCGTCGAGGAAGCTGCAGTCGCAAAAAGGGCTGCGCCGGACAAACTGAACCATTTGCTTCAAGCTCATGCGGGAGAGGAGCTTGTGCAGATTTCTCATTGTCCTGGGTGGTGGAAAACTTGGAATTGGGTATTTGTCCATCTCCCACTGGATCTGCTGCTGCAGGTAGAAAGACTCTACAACGATCCCATTCAAAGAAGCACGCTCAACGACCTGCTGCAGAAGCAACTGCAGGACATCTGCCCCGTCCAAGCTCTGCATAGCTTCTCGTTGCCTCTTGTCCGCCTTCACGGTTTCCTTGCTCCGAGACGGCACTTGCAGACTTGTTTGGGGCTCGTCCATGTCGCAGGCTGACCTCAGGCTCTCTCCATGCATGGGCTGAAAGCCGGTGACTTCAGAACCTCTGCAACCATGTCGCAAAGCGGTTCGAAGCGCTGCCTGCTGCGTGGGTGAAACGGTTCTCGTCCTGGCAGCAGAGTGGCTGAAAGTCTCCAACACTTAGCAACCCAAGCACGGAAACGGCAAGTGGCCGAAGGTGCGAAAGTGGAAGCTGGAATTTACAGAGTGCCTGCAGAAGCCTCAGTCAATGGAACCAAGGTCACAGAAACCCTCAACACGACGCTGCGCACTGCGAACCTCAGACGCTTCGCGCCGAAGCACTGGGAGAGGCGCCGAAGTAGGCTACGACTACACGGAGATCGAAGGCTGCTACACGGCTGGCAGAGACCAACACACGGAGATTCCAGGGAGCTCTTGCAAGGTCTTTGCGCGCTTTAAGAAGCTGAGGTGGGCGTTGTAGGGCTTCAACGGGCGTCAACGGGGTTCATCGGATCGGCTGATGCTTAAGGCGTTTCGGGCTAAAACGCTCGGGTGCCGTTCAATAGGGCCTGGCCAGAAGGTACATTTTACAGGTGGGACTGTGGATTGAGGCATACTTTCACCTCGAGAAAGTGGTAGTAACTAGGGTTCCTTATTCAGGTTTCTGCTGTAGTCAACCACTGCACCCTTACTCTAAACCCATAGACGACTCTGATTTTCAGCGCCAGATGCCCAAACCCACGCATGTCTAGGGCCACAGCCAATCCCCACTCAACTATGGTTTGAAGGTAATGACCTCCGTGAACTCCGCCTCTTGTTGACAGTTTGGCTGCAAGACCAGACTTCTTATACTATGCTTTACTGTATAACGAACGCAGAGTCCGCCAGGTGCAAGCGGCGACGAAGTGCACTGGGAGTAGTCTATGGACTTGAGTCGTAGGTGGCCAACACGACGTAATAAAACATGACTTTCGCTGCGGTTCGGCGGGGCTCAGACACTGCCGCTGCTTTTCGCCATGCAGACAAGACCAGCATGGCCATCTGTGTCGGACTGAACAACACCCGTCAAGGAAATGTTGGTGACCTCGTGAAGGATGCTGCTTGTTCATGTCCGATTTAAGCTAGGCTGTTGATGTTTATTTAACACGAGCAGCGACTCTGCTCAGTGGCGAAGCATATGGGTTTGGACTTCTCAAGCTTTGGTCGATGCTCGCACGCGCATGCCCTCATATGAGGTGCTGCCGCAGATAGTGGACGCATAAGCATACATAGGTATTCACTCCCTGTACACACAGGAGTAAAGCTTCCTCCTTGGGGGGAGCTTACAAGCAAAAGGTCCAGCAAATTTGTAATTAGCATAGCTTTTGTTCCGTATTGTGGCCTCCTGCTGTTGCACTTAAATCTTCCGACCTTGTGCAGGGACGTCGCACAGCGAGACTCCAATTGATTTGGTCATCAACTAGAGACAAACCTCACATCCAGAAGCCTGCGAGACTAGCTTCCGTGCGTTGTATCCAATACAGGGGGTTTTAGAATTAGGATGGGGTTTGGGGGCCCATAATAAGAAACCCCACAAAAATCGTATCTACCTTCTTCATTGTCAGGTCGGAGTCTGACTGGACATCTGCTGTACATCAGCTTGCCGTACTTCCTCTCAGTATTCAAAAGCAGGAGGGGCTCCTGCACGAGCTTCACCTTGATCGAGCTCCATCTCATGTAGCCGACCCTAAACCCTAAGCCGGAACGTAGCCTCAAACTAGGAATCTTCCAATCCTGCTCATCGCCTCGCGATTTACTTCAGCTCGTTTTACCATGCCCTTGGCAGATTTCGATGTGCTTGGTAGGAGACCAGGCAGCAGAGAATAGCAATATGTACAAGAAAGCCGGACTTCTCTGGTAAGTCTTTGCCCTGCCGAGTCCTCCCATTCGACCTTCGGAACTGCACTGTCTGTTTTCCATCTTTCCGGGTTTCAATACAGTACGGTGTCCCATCTCTGCACCTCGCGATTGATTTTCTCCTCGGGGAGTCCGGCCCCACGTAGGCATGTGTAGGGCATTGCCGTCTAGTGGCCAGGCATGCGCAAACCCGTACTCAAGGCTCACCAACCCGGGCCCTGCCTCAATGACCGTTCCTGCCGTGGAGGCAGAACAAGCATTAGCACTCACATCGGTTTCGATTATCGTAAGTAACCTCTTGCATATGTGCAGGCAGCTACTAGTATGCAGGCAAACGTGAGCCTGAGTGTCTGAACACCACATTAGCTACGTCCCATGACACTTTCCGCTGCACAAACTTCAGAATGAGTACCAATGAAACCATGACGTTAATATAGTATACGGCACTTGTCTATGAACTCACCGTGTCTCTTCTTGTGTCATGATATCTCCCATTCTTGCTTGAGACATCCCAGCATAAGTGTGCACTTACCTACTAGCTCCTGACGTGTATGCTTTAGTCTGCGTGGGCTGGTTTTCAAACATCCGTCGTAGTATATACATTCTCTTCGATCATCCAAGTGATGACAAGATCTTGCGAGGTTTGTATCCACTTAAACCGGACCTTGTGTGAGTCGGTGGATGAACCCAAGTACAATCCAAGGTCGCAGCATGTCCCACATTGCAGCCAAGCGTCATCTCGATTTCTTTGAACTTCACGGCTTTGCGGCCTTTGCTGACTGGCATGCACAGACACTGAAAGCAACTCCGAAGTAGCGAATCGCTAACAGACTCTGTGGTACGAGTAGGAAAACACGTCATGTGGCCAATCCTACTTCTTTTGCGCCTTCAGACCGCAAGTAAATACTGAGATGCAACAGATGTTGCACTTGTGGGCAAACCCTCCAAGCCCGGGCCGCCTAGCGCAAGGCTTCCAGCTTACTTTAGGGTTTTGGGTTTAGGCTTTAGGATTTGTCTTATGCCTGGATGCAAACATGATTCGTTACAGTTTCATATAGACACATATACACGCATGTCGATGTGTGTACGCATGCACATTCACATTGTACCCGTGACGTTCTTGAGTTAATCTGTGCTTGAGCGAGTTCGGCATGTACATGTTGTGGTTCATGGGCGCATACGTGTGCGATGTATGTGATTTATGATTTTATATATATATATATATATAGGTATATACACACATATATATATATATGTATATATATATATACACACACCCACATTTTTTGAGTATGTATTTGCTGGATTTGTTTATTCGCGGAGGAAGCGGGAGGACCAGCGAGAGAGAGAGAGAGAGAGAGAGAGAGAGAGAGAGAGAGAGAGAGAGAGAGAGAGAGAGAGGGGAGAGAGGGAGAGAGGGAGAGAGGGAGAGAGAGGGGGAGAGAGGGGGAGAGAGAGGGAGAGAGAGGGAGAGAGAGGGAGAGAGAGGGAGAGAGAGGGAGAGAGAGGGAGAGAGAGGGAGAGAGAGGGAGAGAGGGAGAGAGGGAGAGAGGGAGAGAGGGAGAGAGGGAGAGAGGGAGAGAGGGAGAAGAGAGAGCAGCAAGCAAAAATGCAGGGCAACTTCCTCAGCAATTCATGCTGAGAGGCAGTTTGTTTGCCCTTCAGCCCGCCAAAGCAAAGACTCTCCAAGGCATCGACCCTCACCTCTGACTCTGAAACCTTACGCGTCTAGGCTTCAATCTGTTTCTCAGGTGACCCCGTACCCAATGCCGAGGAGAGTCGGAAGATCTCACGGAACACTGTAGGATTTTGGTCGGTCACCTGAGTGGCTATTGGGTGTGCTCAGCGCTTATGCTTTTCTGCGAAGCCGTCTATCACATGGCTACAGAATTACCGGAGAATACGATCTTGCACACCAGAGCCCTAGCCGCCATAGTCGAATCAACAGGCCAGGACCCTTCTTGAACTCCCTCAAACCAGGAACAACAGAGCACCAACAGCTGCAAATGCACAAATCACAAACCCCAGTCCAAGGCAAGTCTAGCATCACGAAGCCCTCTCGGTTATCAGCACTCCAGTCTCGCAACAAGGCTGCCCGACATCCAGAAGAATCTTCCCCCTGGAAACCAGGCCCAAGATCTGAACATGATCCCCGGACATGGCCGTACCTTATTTTACAGGGTCCTTATAAAAAGGATCCTTCTATTCCGGGTACTATATTTGGGTCCCCTATTTTCGGAAACACCCTGGACCCGGAACCCCAACATACCACCTTCGCTCAAAAAAACCGGCCGTTTCAGGGCCCCGGCATCAAACTGAGGTATGGCAAAGTGGATCTCTCTGTAGAGGCGGCCCAGCCTGACGCAGGGTCTCGAGGGTGTTTTGGACCGGTTACTACAAGGCTACTTTTGGGCTACCAACACTGTGCTATCAGGGTACTGTCGGTTACCATAAGGTTGCTCTCGGGCTAGAAAACTATAGGCCTACTCTGAGAAAGGAATGGGTACGCGGCTTAGTCGGGCTCGGGGCTCAGGATTGGTGGAGAAGGGCTGTGCGAGTCGCTTACTGCAGGAACTGCCAGAAAGTTTGAGGCGCATTGTCCTATGCCGGAAGAGCAAACGACAAAGCACGAGAGCACTAATGAGGGGTTTGTAGTCCGTCCTGTGCCACCAACTTATCCAAGAGGGCTGTCAGATTGTCAACAGCTTCGTACCGGGTCTTGGGAATCGGGGCCCTAAACCCTCAAACCCCAAGGCGACGGTTGCTGTGCCACGATGCTTGAATACATGACTTACATAATCTCTCTTTGAAGAACTCTGCTTATGTTTCTGCAGTTTCTGTCTGGTGCCAGCTGCATGCTGCTCATCACTGCCATGTGTGTTTTTGGATGAGACGCCGTGAAATCATTGTTAAGGCAATTCTTGTCTGTAGATGTCCTTTCCGAATTCTCCGAGTGCTGCTGCTTCCGGCCTGTGTTCCACAAGGGCCTTGACAAAGAGCTCCGCGATGTCATATGGGTCCTCGCAACAAGTCCAAAGCGTTCTGAATATGTCGCAGGCACTGGGTAGCCCAAGCAAGCCTCCGTGGTGAAGCAATGTATGCTGGGATTCACAACACGCAAGATCAGCTTGCTGCTGAAAGTGTCGCGTGCACAAGCAAGGGAAATCAAGACATAAAAAAATAGGGAAAGACAGAAACATGTCGGAGCGGGGAAGCTAATGCTTTCCTGAGCCGGGCCAAGTCGCCTTGAAAGCTCAAAGATCAATGCCGCTCTGAGGTGCCGACACAGCCGAAGGCACCGCATCCCCAGGCACCAAGCACGATGGTGGTGGTCTCACGCAGGGGGGCTTGGGATATGTTCTTACTTTTGGTTATGACAAGGAACCCGGAAAATGGTCTTCAAGCATCAATATTGGTTCAGGCCGGTATAGTAGCTGAATCACCGATCTTCTTCGAAGGGTGTTAGGCTTCAACCTTCAAGCCTACGGCTAGTTCCGCGAGCAGACCACAGATTTGAAGCTACTCACTGTGGGTGGTTTACCGTCTCGAGCCACCCAGCTCCAGCTGAGCCAGCAGGGCCAGAAACGCCTCTTCTCACAGACGATGGAAGGGTCTCCTTTCATGCGAGAGGCCTCCGGCTGCTTGTTGAGGGGTGCGAGGAGAACAGCCTTCACTGTGTTGAGCCTGCGATGCACATGCTCGTCTTCGATGGAAAGCTACAGCGACAGCACCGTCAAAAAGGAATCCTGGAGTTGGAGTAGTGCTGCCTCAACTCTGCTGTCGACATGTATGAGGTTCTACCTGTAATCTGCAAAACATGCCAGCTGCGCATTAGGTCTTTGTCGTAGCGCTCCGGAGGATCAGCGAACTTAATGTTCCTTGGGCACGGCCCTGTTTCAAGAGATCTTTGCGTTTGATTTACATCCAGGAGAGGTGGAGCTGAGGCAATGCGCTGCTGCTCACCGACTAGAACTTGCGCCGGAAAAGCACGCGCATGCAAACCTCACAGACCCAGCTTGGCGCACGGCGGTGCTGCTGCTGCCACTAGCGACACGTTAGCCTCGATGCGATGACTGATACTGTAACATCAGTGTTGCAGGAAGTCTTGACATTGCTGCATGAAGGTCTCGAAGTCGAAGGGTCTCAGTCAGGATACGTGGGAGAGGTGCGACAAAAGCAAGGCAAAGGCAACAACAGGAACCAGAACCCTCTCAGATGTCGTTGCAGACACTGTAGACGCCTTTTCCAACCATTTGGATGGGCGAGCGTACTTCCCGTCAACAATTACTGACGTACTAGTAAGTACTAGTACATTTCGATCGGATGTGAACACTCGATGAGGATGAGTACGACTCAAATTGCTGTTCCTGGTGTCCCGACTAGTCGGATAAATTGTGTATTGAATTCATACCTAACCTCTCAACCCTCAAGCCTAAACCCTTTGATCCTGCCTGTTGATCTTTGGGGAGGAGCTCGAATCCTCGATCCTGTCTCGCCACGGGTCGCTGGTGGTCTGATTACGTTCCGACTTGATACGACTTGATCACCGCCCCGAAAAATGCTTGGGCATGGGTAGTTCTGGCAAGGGCTTGTCCGGATCATCGAGCCAGCAAGCCAGAACAACTTCCCGGTTCAGGACTCCACAATAAATCACTTGTGCAGGACTACACTGTCTGACATGGGAATTGGCAGACATGCGCAAACACACACACACACAGACAGAAACACAAGCGCGCACACACACATGTAGATGTATGTGTATATACAAACATGTATATACACATACATACACACACATACATACTGCGTGCATGAGTTTATCTGCAGACACCGCGCTGACGCACCTCACCCGCTCGGGCGATGCAAACTTTCGGGGTCCACAAGACCTCGGATGAGATGAGGGGGTGCTCCAAAACTCTAAACTCTGTCAAGCGATGCGAGTTGCATAGACTAGTTAGGGGACAAGTGCCTCCGATTCCTACTATATACTCTGGCTGTATGTACTGAAGCCTGGCTAGCAGCATTTCATACTCTTGTCTGAGGCCTTTGCGTCAGAGTATCTTGCCGGACTGGCACTCGAGCAAGTAGCCGGGCCGAAAGGGTAATGCCCCTCCTGCGGTTGGGAGCATGGACGACGGATTTCACAGCAATGCAGGCTGCATTCAACATGCGCGGCTCCCTCTTCGCGTTGTAGAGCGACGTGTAGAGCGTTGGCATTCGACGGCACAAGTCCTGCGGTGCTGAGACAAAAACATAGGCTCTGCTAAGTAAAAGACTTCGAGAATGGTATGTCTTTTTCGCGAAACAGTTGCTGGACTCTTAAAACAAACCCATGGACGATCAGATCTGGCTCTGGCTCGTATTTGCGCCTCCTCTTGCGCATATGCCCCGTTCTTGTAGCCTGGCACACAAAAGCAGATCCGAAGGGACTTGCCATCTCTCCCTACTCTGTTCGTGAAGGCCCGGGGGGTCTGTAAGGTCATGCGCTGGTCCTACTTAACATCCTGACACGTTGCAGAGGCATCCAGAGCAAGGCCACGACACTTCTTCCGGAACCGATTCCCAAACTCCGCGGTTTGCCAGGATCCACTTCAGAACGATAGCAGCTAACTAGAACCACCACAGGCTGTGATGCTTCGCCTCCGCCAACTGATTGGCCATTGGCAAAGTTGAGTCCAACAACCTCTCACAAGTTCCACTTCCAAGCTCGATCGCCCAGAGTGACATGTGACTTCTCCGGAAGGTAGTACAAGGGCGCAGGCCGTTCTGTCTGAGCTCCCTAATTCCGTGCGACCCTGCCGCATCTCTCTCAAGCAACCCAAGCCTCGAAAACGCATAACCAGATGTAGAAGCGCTATAGCAATACAACAGCACCCACAGGCGTTGCCGTCATGAGGAACACTCATGTGCTCATTATACATGCATGGCCGTTGAGAACGCTTCCCGGGCAGCCTTGCGGCTGGGTTCACGGCCAAAAAACATCAGCGCCTGAGAAAGCACGGTGAGATACGGTGAGCACGGTCGACCCGGTCGGACGAAATGGCAATTTCTGAAACAGGTGTCGAATATGTAGAGTCTAGAATATGTGGCCCCCAGTAAGAAACCCCGAACGCTCGGTAAGAAAGCCCGTCATGAACTGATTGATCTGCCAGCAAGAACGGGGTAGTCAAAGTTCTGAGGGCCAGGCATCTGCTGTGGTCATGCACGAGAAGGTGATCTGCGAGCTTTCAGTTTAGGGGGGCACGGTTTCCGGGCAAGGGTAAGTGTATTTGAATCCTGATCCTGCAGTGATTAGCGCTAGCTACAAGTTATCATATTGAAAAACAATAAATCATCTATTCTATTACTTCTATACGATTCTCATTATGACTAGTACTAGAATTACTAGAAGCTTCGAGTATCTAGTATCCAGGTTTATGTTCCCTCTTTGTCGCCTCTGGGTCGGTGCCCATGCCAGTGACTCGAGACTTCAAACCTGATCGCGCGGAAGTACCGTTTTTCCGTCAGCAAGACCGGAAGACAAAGCTACAGGCCTGGCTTACGGCATGTGACTTTTTTATCGCTGCTGCGAATAGAGGTGTAGTTAATTCCTCCACAGCGGCGGCTCTTTGGAGGAGAAATCCAACCCGAGGGCTCCGCAAGATTCCGCCGAAACGAGCTCTGTCCTGTCAGGGTGCCCAAAGCAGAGTCTGGCTCTCTGGGCCTCATGAAAGAATCGATAACTGCAGCAATCAAGCTGCTGGAATAGACCGAGGATATCTGGGGCGCAACGACTTCGCTATTCCTGTGTCAAGAAACAGCCCTTGCAGCCTCGGGTTGTGCTTAGACTTCGCTGCAGTGCGCCGAGTGCACCGGTGCCTTGGGACGGCCCACTGGTTGCGCAAGGCGTAATTGTTCTCCGCAACCTGAGACATGATGCAAAGAGAAAGTCTCGATTGTCAGCTTTGATGTGTCTGCTCCCGGCTGCAAGTTAATGGGGGGGCCTTAATAATTAGAATAGGGTTTCGGGGCCCATTATACTATAGTTACAATCAGGAACCCCCAAAATAGTATTGGTAATTATTTCGGCCCCTGTATTATCTCGGTGCCGGAGAGAGATCGGCTCTGACAAGCGCTGTGGAGTCATTAGTGCTTGTTTTTTGTTGACGGCATCCGTTCCGACAAATGTCGCGTCCTCTGTCCCCCCGCCCACTTCCCACTTGAAGGCTTGGACCGGGGACAAGAATTTCTCCTGGGGGTCCTTTGTTGACTTTTGAGCAGCGGGGGGCAAAAAAACAAAAGCGTCACACGCCGCTGTCTCCGAGGAGCTTAATTACGCTTTGCTTTCTGTTGTCTTGCTGGGAACATACCCGGGGACTTCAGGCAGCAATAGGAGCTTCAAATGCGTGGGTCCACTCCACAAATTGGGGGGAAGCCAAATCGGTTTTCCACGACACCGCAAGTCTCAAGCTTGAAATCAGAAGTGTGCCTAGCATCCATTGTTACATTGTTGGTCCTTGTGCATTTGTCCCCAAGGGTGTCAAAAACCTGTCGAACATGCGCTACTGCAGCTACATCTCCAGTATTTAATACACCTGCAGTCAAGAACGCACAAGGACAAACGGACCAGAAACCGATAAACGGTCCCACTCAGCTTCATCGTACACACTCACTCACTTGATCACTCCAACTCTCCCCTCCCGCTCCCACTCTCTCTCTCTCTCTCTCTCTCTCTCTCTCTCTCTCTCTCTCTCTCTCTCTCTCTCTCTCTCTCTCTCTCTCTCTCTCTCTCTCTCTCTCTCTCTCTCTCTCTCTCTCTCTCTCTCTCTTGCTTGCAATCGGTCAAAGGCAGCACAACGCACTGCCCCGCGCTCGCTCCCTCTCTCTCTCTCTCTCTCCCTCTCTCTCTCTCTCTCTCTCTCTCTCTCTCTCTCTCGCCCGGGTTATGGTGTAGAGGTTGCCCCCTACACCCTCTCTCTCTCTCTCTCTCTCTCTCTCTCTCTCTCTCTCTCTCTCTCTCTCTCTCTCTCCTCTCGTATCATCGTATCTGGCGGGGCCTGAGGTTTGGATTTGCTGCAACATAACATACTGGAGAACGAGAATATGACTCAAGATGAGTTCTTGTCACATGCAGTCTCTCTGGTCAGCTGGCTCCCAAGACACCTCCTTCAGGATGGACTTGATGAAGTTTCTGTCCTTGGTGCTTCTCGCCTCTCAAGTCGTGGCAGTGTTTGTCGCGGAGCTCTCAGACTCACATGTTCAGGATTCTTCAGGATTGCTGGGTCACAAACCCGGGAGTCCGACAGCCTTTGGTGGATTCAACTGATTCAACAACCACGTCCCAGCTTGACTGGCAACACTGCGAAGGCGACAATCAAAAAACACCGAACGAACGGTGAACTTCCCCAAACTCAGGTGTTGTCGAACAGCTGCTGTGCAAGCACAGGATCCTCAAACGAAACACCACGAACCCGGCCGCACCTTCTCCAGGCGGTTCTTGAACTCTTCTGCATGCCACTCGGTGCCTTGTAAGCACCCCCCGTCGGCTAGGTGGCTAGGCCAAACCCAGAGACCTTTCTAATCGATCCTGCACGGGTCCACAGCGAAGACTGTGAAAGCTCTTGGCCTGCTCCTCGGCGCTGCACCCCAGCAAGATTGCCTTGGAAGAAGCCACAGAATCCACAGAAACCAGAAATGAGAGTTTCTGCAATTCGACTGGCACGGCGAAGCCTGCGAAGCATGTTAGCAATTGGAGCAAGAATGGTACCAAGCATGCCACGCAGGAGGCTCGGAGGTTGCTCTTGGCTTGCAAAAAAAAAGCCCCACACATCTCAACGTGAAGACCAACATCCTTGGAGCTTCGTCGGGCACCGAAGCCAGGCCCCGGATGTCAGGCCGACAGACTTCGGCGATGCAGGACAGCGAGCCCGTGCACAGACTTAGTGGCTGACGGCCTTGTGGAGAGCTTCCAGGAGAGATGGTCTCCTGCAACACAATCCTAGCAAGTCTGTCTCGTCCAGTCACCCGCCAACGGTCTGAGACCTGTCTCTGCAGACCCCTCAAAAAACCCGGAATCAAACCGACAACACCTCCGAGGCATAACCGAAGACTTGGCAAGATCCGTAGAACCTACACCGCAGTGCTCACGATCTGTCTATAGTGCATGGAAGCACACTTTCTATGAAAAAACATGAGCACGACCCAAAACGATCGATGTCAATGTGCATTCCATGCATACAGGAGGCAGTCGCTTGAGATCCCGAGCCTCCATGGCAGCGCCTCCTGGGCAAGGGGGGCAGGGTTCTTGCAAATGGGGAAGCCCTGGCGGACCGGATTGTTTAGCAACCAGTGCTGCCTCTTTGATTGCTCTGAACGATTGTTTCATTTGTGGAACCAACCAGCAAACTCTCCGCCTTGCGGCTGGGCCAACCTGTCTTCCGTGGGGCCATCCGAGCCGAGCTGAAAAACACCTGCCCTGCAGCGGAGGCTCCTGCTCCGTCTCTCCGTGGCTGCTTGGCCCTGGGATCGCCTGCAGGTGCAGAGCCCGGGCCCCGAGAAGAAAAAAAGGTCCCCACACCAGTCAAAAAGAGCCCCGAGGTCCTGACCACTCAACGCAAAGAAGCCTTGAATAAAAAGTCACAGACATGAGCAAAGGCCAAGCCTTCTACGGAGGCTGTGGTGGCTGCAGTGGCTGTCGTGCCGACCGGCGGGGGCGGCACTGCCCTCACTGCCGGCTCCGCCTTTGGAAGTATGACTTTGCAGCAACCCTAAACCCTAAATCAGCCACATGCAGGGACCTGCATCCTGCAAACGAGCTCACGCAGATTGTTCTGGACTAAGGCTATGAAACGATGGGAATGTCATGCGAATCGAAGGTGGCTGCGCAGTCATTTCCGGATGCCAGACAGAAAAAATGCATCCAACAAACTCGCGTTTGCACATCAACAGAAGCATGGTCTGTCGCAATCAAGCATAAGAATGGCAACACTAAAGCCAGACTCACACTCGTGGCTTTCGAAAGGCCTGCCTTCGGCCGCTCCCACGTTCGCTCCTCTGGCATTGGAGTTAGAGTTAAGTGATTCCTCGACTTGCTTCCAGATGGAATCTCGTCATGACCTGACGGCATATTAGGATGCAATGCCGTACCTAATTAAGGAGGCTCGAGAATAACGATATAACCCGACACGACGTAGCAAAGGATGGCCAGCAAGTCTAGGAGTCTAGGAAGGCCGAGCATTCCCTCTCTCTGTGTGTGTGTGTATTATTTGCGTATACCCGCCCTTTGTATACCGGCACATACATACATGCATACAAACATACGCAAGTAATTGCATAGATACATATATATACATACATATACATACATACATGCATACATACATAATTTGCAAAGATACATACATACAGCCAGCCAGCCAGCTAGCCCGCCCGCCCGACCGCCAGACAGGCACGCACACAGACAGAATACGTATACATATGACTACATATACATGTGTATGTCCATATGCACATACAAACGTATGTGTATATACATATATATATATATATATATAGACATAGAGAGAGAGAGAGAGAGAGAGAGAGAGAGAGAGAGATGTGTGTGTGTGGGTGTGTTATCATGTGTGCGTAGATATACATATACATATACAGATACATATGCATATACATATACATACATGCAAGTTGACAAAGGCATATATTCCCATGTACGGCTAGTATATTGCAGCACAATTCAGGACTACCTGTAACAACATGAACGGCAACATCCATATGGTTGTGTAAGAACATTAAGTCTCTGTTCTCGCCACTGCAGCATCAAGGTCGCCCTGCTTCCTTCGTCATGCGGTTGAAGAAGTACGGTCGTTGATAGCGGCTGTCCCATTCTGATTCCCAGCCTGTGATGCTGTGCACGCAGCGTTCGTGAAGCCTCTAGACTTCTATTGACCGATGGAGGTGGAGCGCACTCCATTCGCTAGCAGTGAAACGATCAGACTACTGACTTTGTACTTGTCTTGACTGCAACTGACTCAAGACAAGACAACGCCGAATGACCCGGCGGCAGGCTGGAGGAAAGAGCTTCCTTGTGCTCCTGCAAGGCACACCACGAGCAAGCCCGACAGAAAAAGCGATGACGAGTCGGCTTGCTAGTGGCTCGGCTCCTGTGGCGGCTCAGAGGGAACCGGAACGGTGCAACCCGCCGGCCGCTCCTCGGAAAAATCACCCACAGATCTCACGATCGGGCATGAAACAGGGAGCCCCGACGTTCTGCTTGCAACCGAATGAGGACAAAAAGCGAAGAACCGCTCAACGCGCCTGTCCAAGAAATCCACGCAAACAAGCATGAGACGAGAATATGTATGTATGTATGTATGAATAAATGAATGAATGTATGTATGTATACACACGTGCAGTATGTGTATAAATGTGTATGCACATATTGTATATACATATATGTGTTTACATGCATGTGTACATTTATATAAACAAACATGTGTATATATATATATACGTATAGAATGTACTTCCTCATATACTTGTTCATATACAGCCAGATATACACTATATAGCTTGTGTATACATAGATACACAGATTGGATATATAGTATGATGCGGTCGCCACAAGGGGTGTCCTCGATATCCCCGCATCCCGCAAGCTGTAGCCTTCAGTTAGTAGGAACCTGGCACCCATTTCTCGACAAGCCATCCCAGGGCTGCGACCCAACTGGCCAGGCCCTTCTCTCTGTCCTGCACTGAGGCTTTGGCCCGGTCTATAGAGAGCGGATGACAGGGAGAGGTCATGAAGATGATGGCGTCTTGGGAATAAGATTGATTGCAGCTTGGATATCTCTGTGCCTAGAGGTCGAGCCTTCGCGCAGTTGGCCTAGTCAGACTTTCGAGACCTTCTTGAGCATAGCTGCAAGCCACTTCTGCACCGGAATTCCAACCCATCCAGAGCTCCGTGATGTCCTGTGGAGCAATCCCCTTCCACGATTTGCGAACAGCTTTGGTCCTGGAAGAACCACCTTGAGTGCTTCGTGCTCCAGGCGACGGCCCATCCTGAAGCCAAGTAAACTAGACTGCCACTGCCGCTGAAGCACTGGACGCACTAATCTTTCTCCAGCCCCACTTTGCTTTTCTGTGCCGCGCACCAGTGCCGGACATGTTGCCGCAGTGCAGGGGCGCGACCAGACTACCTGCGCATCCTGTTGCTGGGCTGTGGCAGCTTGGTCAGCTTGGTGCTGCTTGCCTGTTTGATTCACAAGTGCTGAGATTCTCGTGAGGGACCGTTTGGGACCACTTAGGTGCTGGGCTGGGTAGCGCTCTTCCAATTCCTTAAGGCCTGCGGGAGACGGCGACGCTCACTGGTAGACTGCGCTTGTGCGGTGCACCTTCTTCAGATACGACCCGACCATTGTAGTTGCGCACAGTTTCTTGCGGGCGATGTCTCGCTCGTCTCGCACTGCAGAGGCAAACCTGTTGCTCCACTGGCTCCTTCAGACACATGCCAGGGTCAGTACGTTCACTATGCGAAGCCCAAGGGCAACAGGGAGTTCTGGAGAGCAGACGCTTTAAGCGGTGCTCTCAGAACTCGGCCAAGCAGACTGCCTAAGGAATAAAGGCAAAACCGAGGGAAGGCTGCAGCGTTGCCCCAAAACCTCCAGGCTGTCTCCGCCATTCCCAAGGCCGTGCTCGTTAGCAATACCGCCCGGGCCCCGCACCCCCTCACTGCATCACACGGTCACAATCGCAACGACAACGCGTAAGCTTGATCTCCAAAACACTGGCACCAAATGCTGGATGCTGTAAGGTGAGAGCGGCGGCCCCTTTAGCGGCGGCCTTCAAGCTTCAAGAGCCTTCGGCCCAAGCATTAGCGCAGCTCCACAGCGGAGCCAAGACATGGACCGACTTTCTCTCACTTCACCAGGCTCGGCAACTCCTCCACAGAAGGAAGGCTCTGGTAGAGAAGGGTCGTGCCTGGCGAGCCTATAATGAGTTGTGAAGCCCAAACTTCGACCTTAGAGACTTACAGAAGATCCACTGTTAATTCTTCTGTAGTGGTATCCGAAGCGCCGGGTCCTGAAGTCGGAGGGCTCAAAGTGTTTGGATCATGTAGGCTACCCTACTGAACCCTAATGATCCTAATTTCTATCGCCCTAACCCGTGTCCTAAACCTCAAATCCTCAAATTCTCGGCCACAAACCCTCAACCCTGCGCGCCCCACCTAAGGTCTCTACCGGGAGCTCCTCAGTGGCCTTGTCCCAGGTTGCCCGGGTCCTTTGGACCACAGCTGGAGGCTTCAGGGTGTCACGCTGTAGGACCGGGAACGGTGGCAAACACACTCACATGCACGAACGTCTTTGACTGGTATATGCATGTGATATGCTAACCTACTTGCTTGTTCAGTTTTACATGATATGTTGTGTCGTGCCAGTTCACTACATACAAGTAGTTTTGTGTGACCTTATACGGACTCATCCCCAGATTCTGTGCACACGTATACCTACCTGCACGCTGCAGTCTGAACTGCATAGACAAGTGCATTGCTGACATTTGCGTGTGCCGGCACCCAAACAGCCAGGCAAGGAGGCAACCAGCCAGCTGTCCAGCTAGCGAGCTGGCTGGCTAGTTATTTGAGGCAGGCAGGGTGTTTGTGCATATATATTCATAAGTCTAAACATGCAGAGCGAGGGCAGCTAAGAACTGATGCACATATACGTGAGAATAATGCAGCCATGCCCCTATGAAACAAAACTATAGACTCAGATTATCTGGTGTATGCACGTAGATTTTGTACAGAAGTGTATACCGAAAGCTTTTGAACGAATGCATAAATAAACGTAAATACAGCTTTACTTATGAGTATGTTAATGACTCAGCGAATGAATGCATGTATGACCCGATAGGTCAACAAACGGGTCTATAACATGGAAATGAATACAAGTCGGTCTGTCTGTCTACACATGTATACATATATGCATATATATATATATATATATATGTATGTATGTATGTATATATCTGTCTTTTCTTTTCTTTCTGCAGGGCGTAGGGGTCGTCAAGCGACCCTCAGGCCACATATCTGCATCTCTCTCTCTCTCTCTCTCTCTCTCTCTCTCTCTCACTGTCTATCTATCTGTCTATGCAGTTGAAAAACCATTTAGCTACATGTTTATACAGGCGTGTATGAGTGTGTGTGTATATATATACATACATATACATATATATATATATATACATACACGCGTAACGTATACGCATGTATGCAAGACTTTTCCCACGAATGCCGAAGACGCTTACGCACACACGCACACGCAGACACGCAGACGCACATGCAGTGTTAATTGCATGCACATATTAGGTAGGTTGCTTAACTTGGGGGTTTCTAGGCGGCCTCATGCTTTCGCCCTTGCAAAATCCTCAGAGATTAATCCGGGTTACACCTGGCAGACCCAAGCCCACTGCACAAAGTCAGCTGCGGCTTCCGGGGTCCCAGCACACTCAGGAAGCCTCTAGCATCCGACTCCGCCATCCCTGCAAAGACTTGCTGGGCCTGGGATTGGCTGGCGTTTCCAGTTTTGCCTTTCACGAAACCTCACACAGATGCCCATCTTCGGATGGGAGCTCCTGCACGTCGCGACGGAATTCTTGCTCTTTCGTCGGCACTATCGACAAACATCCGAATATGCAACAGACACAGGTAAAAAGAACAAAACCGGCACGACTCAAGCCAAGCAGAGCCCTAGAAGTAAACCTGCGGTGAACTTCATGCCTCTGACTTCGGCAGCGCACGCAGACGGCCGCAAAGAAGGCCCTGTGGCCGAGAAGGTGCTCAGGGACTCAGGGTTGCAGAAACATACATGCAGAAAACCAAAAACAGGTCATGATGAAGATGCTGGTGAGCACAACACCCGCAACAGTTGTAAGCAAATAGAGTTGGGCGTATCCTCGTCGACACTTCTATCACTTTTGTCGATCTTTGCAGGCTCAGCTCTTCTGACTTCCGAAATCAGAGCACACCTCCGAAAGAGAGTGATCTCCGAACTCGCTGGTTTACACACCGGGCCCTGGGACTCTCAAGTCGCTCCCAGCGGATTCGGAGGTTAGGATTACTATTACTATGACTATGACTATTACTATGACTATTACTATGACGATTACTATGACGATTACTATGACGATTACTATGACGATTACTATGACTATTACTAGGAATATCATTACTATTACTATGACTGTTACTATTATACTATTATTATTGCTATTACACCATTATTATTGCAATTATTATTACTATTACCGTTATTATGACTATTACTCTGACTATGGTTTCCTGGGCCGTGACGGGCTGCTCGCCTCAAATCCCGGCCAGCTCAGCCTTCCGTCCTCCGAGAACTCCTCGAAGGCCTGGCGGGGCCCAGAGAGCTTCTGGTTTAGGGTTTAGGGTTTTAGGGTTTAGGGTTTAGGGGTTTAGGATTTAGGGTTTAGGGTCAGGTTTTAGGGTTCAGGGGTTTAGGGTTCAGGGGTTTAGGTTTTAGGGTTTCGGGTTTAGGTCCTCCTAAGTTAAGATAGGGGCATTTATCGATCTTAAGAGACATCTGCTAGAGCAAGTCCTCCCAGGGTTTAGGGCTTCGAGTTTCCGACAACTAGCGGGTGCCGCGTTCTGCGGTCCTAATAAGGATCCTAAGTTAAGATAGGGGCATGATAATGATCTTAACAGAGATACAGGCATAAGGTATAGGTGTAGGTTTCGGTATAGATATGGATGTGGATAGTTCTCCTAAGAAGCTACTCACCGAATCCAGCTTCTTGGTTGGAACTCACCAGAAATTTGCACCTGAGCATTTTCAGAGTCCTAGAGATTGTGGTATATAGTATGCAATGAGTATTACATATATATATATATATTTTTTTTTAATCTACATAGCATTGTAGAGTGAGGCCCCGTTGTCAATACCAAACACTGGGCATCTAGAAGTAGTGGCAGGTAAGCACCAACTCCTGCTAGGACTTATCAAGCTCAAAGACAGCAGCACGGAGCACGGACGGGGGAACGAAGCATGTTTTTGAACTTGAGAAGGGGGCCTCTCACTTCGAACTCAAAGGGACTTGAAAGGGCCGTGAAGACGAAGTTGACTTGGCGTGGCCAGGATCAGCACGGATTGGAAGCAAAAAATGGCATTGGAAGCTGTAACTCAAACCGACGGCAAACATGACCAATCACCAGTCAAATCAAGCCAATGCCAACATCCTTGTTAACTACCAGCTAAACATTGCTGAATGTGCGTAAGAGGTTGTCAAACTGTTACAGGCTGTGTAACGATCTAGCCTGAAAGGCATGCTAAGACATGGTTTGTCAAGTCATGTTGAACGTCCAGTACAAAGGCGAAACCTACCTAAAGAAGACGCTGGACTCGCATCTACAGATGATCTACCAATGAACCCTTGCCTTGACCGCCTCAACCCAGGCACGGCTTTTCTCTGTGCGAGTCAGGGGTTCTGGTCTTCTCAAGGGGCAAGGCATCTTTGAATAAGAACCAAAATGGCCATGTCGCAGCCAGACACCAAACCTCAAACCTGAAACCGGCACCAAACATTCCGCCGACCACTGACAGTTGAAGCAAAATGAATCCTATCAACCCTAAATCCTGAGTGGCTTGGCCTGGATTCGACCGGCCCTAATCAAAGCCCTGTAGTGCTCCAGGGTCTGCCATTCGGCAGCCTGGTGGTCTTTGAGTCCTCGCGGCAGCAAATACTTTCTTCTGAACACCCTATTAATTCATCCGCTGCGCCATCCTCCATTGGAACGTTCTGTGTCATGTTGGCAAGACAGGGTGGTACTCGCGGAGGACTGTCCTACAGTGGGCAGGTGGGAGGACGGGTCGCCCTCTGCGGATACAAAGTGACTTGCATCCGACGGAACACGATCAAAACCAGCCGCTGGTCGAGTGCCTGGTTCGCTGTGCCGCATTCGATGAAGCAAAGTCCAGACTGTAAAATGCATTCTGAAATTGTCTGTGTGTGTGTCATCCATCCCGAGGAGGCAAGCTGGCACAAGACGACTCACCCGTTTCACTTTGTGTGTCGGGTGAGCTTGCGTGCTGAACTCAGCATGCATGGTGCCTACGTTTCCCACACTTGATGGCCGTACTGCTCAAGTTGTT